CAACTTGGGATACAGATAATCACTCAGCATTTTGGTGTGTTTTGGAGGCTGGGCGGCAGCGAGCTAAAGGCATGTTTTCTGCTCGTTCGTTGTGATCCGCCGAAGGAGTTTGTTGAAACCCCAAATGGTGAGAATTGCCTTTGAGAACACGTGAAAGTTTTACAAAGCGCATCACCGGAAGAAAAAGGAGCAACTCGTCGAACGCAAGTCTCGCAGGTCTCGCGGCGTGATCAAAGCTTCCTTGGCACATCAAAGTGCTGTGTTTCTACCTTCGCACGCTTGAATACCGATCAAGAATCACTGCCCTGTAGATTTGTTTTATGAGTGCAACATGCATGAAGGTGTATGTGCCTCTGGAGCAGCATTTTACTTTAATCTTACGACTGTATTCGTAACTCGCGGCACTTCCGATCCAGAAATGAGCATGATGCAGTGGTGACAAAGTAGGGGTAGGAGGCCATGGGGACGGCGACAGATTGCACTCAACCATATGGACGGGCCGCGTTTGAAAAGCTTTCGATCTCGCCGCTTCATACGTTTACTTTCGAAAACCTACCTTCCTCCATACAGCAAACATCACTAAGAAAGGGCAACTGACAGTTCTGAAGTTGAAGGCTTAGATAGTCTGGGCCCTCCGAGAGGAAAAAAAGATCTCCACACCTCAAGACTGTGGTTAACCAACTTGACGCCAAAAGACGAACGTGGTTAACCAACTTGACGCCAAAAAGCGCCGTGGGCCGGTGGCCGTTTTCCCACTCAAAGAAGTTTTCCTGGACACCGTTGCACACTTCGCAATGTACGGCAGCAAGAAAGGACGCTGTAAATTCCTTAACTGCACTGGCATAACCCGTGCAATGTGCCGAAAATGCAAAGGGGTTGTGCTTGTTGTTGCCTGGAGGAAACAATGCTCTAACACCTAAGCTTATACTGTAATTCTGAAAATCCTTTGCTGGCGATAATATTTTCGGCCCTTGAACTCCCAATTGTTCTGTAAATAAACAGATGTTCTCATGCTCTTGGTTGCTCGTTTTCAAAGGGCTAGTACTGGTAAAAGCAAGGAGTTGAAAATGAAGACTTAAAATCGAAAGAATAAAACGCGAAGGAAAAGCACAGGATAACCACATTACGGTACAAGCTCACACTAAAGCTGTGCGCCCGCACCGTCTCGCAATTCTAGCCTTCGCTTTAGTACATCTCAGGATGAGACGGAATGTATCAAAATAGAACCGATGTGGTCTCACCATTTTGAGCAGAAGTGCCTGAGTAGCCGATGCTATTTTCTGAGTCGCTTGCAAGTAAACAACCAAGAAGCTTGTTTACAACGCACGTATTCATCTGGCTTGAAAATAACTTGAGCGTTGGCTTGGCTTCAATGCCAGCTGCCCATTATATTTATTTGTACTTCACGAAATCCGCCGAATTGAGCGGACTGCCTCTTGACTTGTGCTGTCGGAGCGCATGTCTGCAATTTGGTGGTTTTCGAGTTTGACAACTCCAAAAGCATGGGTGTACTACCGCAGCACCCTCTTAACACGATTTGGGTAACCACACAGTGTAAAGAGGATGTACGAAGAGCGTAGGCCCTTCCGTACACCCTTGAATATTAAAAAATAATGTAAGAAAGGTGTAGGAATGGTGTGAACGTGGTAAAACACCCGTTTAACACGAACATGGGTGATGAAATGTTTAGTGTGTACGATGTATCTAGGGTCACCCGTGCGTAACAAGACATTACAACTTTAGACCAGAGGACTGAAGAAATTCTCGTATGCGAGGAGTTCCCTAGGATGTCTAGGTACGTCTTCATAAACAACAAAGTCCCAGTTGATGCGGAGCTACAAGAGGCTAAAAACGAAAGGAGCTGTCCATAGAAATTTGTCAACTGCCTTAGGAGTGTCAGAGAACTTCGTGGAGAAAAAACGGCCCTTAGAGCGTCAACATCGATTTTTAGAAGGGATGTCTGAAACTTCAGTGTCATCCGGCGCTCCTTTATGTCGACGGCTAACGCATTAACGTCGTCGCCCACAAAAAAAAAGATAAAAAAAAAGAATGCGAACAATCTAAAAACTACTACCGCCGCTAATAGGAGTGATTTCAACCAGCATGGACGCGAACGAGACTTCGAGCTGGAAGCACGTCACGTGTAACCGTCCTATGTGTGTAGCTGTGAAATGGCAGCTCCGCCCAAGTCAGCATGCTCCCGATTGTTGCTATGACTTCGCTGCCGACTTTTTTCCGTGAAGTTTCTCACACTCGGCAAGCATTAATTTGTATAATTTACACGTTTTACAGTTCTGGTTTTCTGTGCGCTGCGAAGATAATAATTTGACTACAGTTGTGAAACTCCTCATGTTCACTCCGCCATTCTGATGGGGTCAGATGCCCTCCTATGGACCACAGGGTCATTTGGCTAAATGCACATGACTATACTCATTTGACTCCACTGCACTGGGAAAATCTAAACCGCTTCCGAATTCTTTAGGCTGCCATGGGGAGTAAAACCATGCTGTTGAATATTAAGTGAAAGTGAAAAGCGCGATTGCCTCTACCTGACTACATGTTTAGAGTACGTATTGAAAACCCAGCATACATAAAATTATTAACAATCGTGTGGGCAAGAGTGATCACGGCATTTAGCCTACAGAGCTGGGTATTCAATACAATTAAAAAATGCAATACAATACAATACAATACAATACGCTTTATTATTCCAGAAGTATTGGAGGGGTTCTCCGACGAAAAACTGGTAAAAGCAGCATGACTAGGTCTGGGTTCCCCTTATACATGGCAGCAACCCGGACAACAAACATATAAAACACGTCATCAGGAAGATAAGGAAAATGAAACAAAATCACATAACACTGAAGTAGCAAAAAACCAAAAATAGTTATTCATAGTTAAAACAGTATGTACGCAGGTCTTCTTATCCATATATATAGATGTTTATGTTGTCCGTTAAACATTTCTGGAAGTCGGCAGCAGCGCCACAATGAGCTACCACAAAGCGGGCGAGAAAGTCTAGGGCTGTCGACATGCATATTATTACTCGCTTTGTGCACAAAAAAAGCAGGAATCATTCCTTGCATTGCGTATACTCAGTACGACTAACCGACCTTTGGTAAAAGTGAGCAACCGTCCCACCTCCTCTTTCAGTTGTTTTCGCTGTTTACTTTGAAAACATATAGCCTGAAAACGGCGAATGTTTTGTCAATAATTAAGTCTTGATGTTGGATTTAACATTAAAAAAACGGTGCTCATAGATGAGCGTTATTTCTGTGGAATAACTCTTACGAAATTAGTTGGCGGCTAATGCATTGCTTCATAATGATAGGCATGCACGGCTACTCGACAGAATTATGTGGGCCTCTCAACAGCAGTTTGCTTATTAATACACAAACCGCAAAATCCTCAATGACGGTTTTTGTTGTCACTAGAAACTATCCAAGCTCACTGTGTTCTTGTCTGTCTTTATAGTTCAGTTGCTATTTTTATAATCGCTGTTATCTGCAAGGCGCAATTTAAAAGTGCTGCTCTTTTATAGGTGAAGTCGTCGCTTTGTCACTGTGAGACCCGAAGAATATCGAAGGCATCTCCTAAATGTACTTGACCGATTAAAATTTCACAGTTTCACAGATCATAGTGAGAATGTGTGGTTAAATTAAACGTAAATTCTATAGATTTTTTGTTTCTGAGATCGCGTATTTAGAGCTGTGGTGTCTTACCGAATTGCGAAAAAATGATATGCGAATCTCTTGCGAGTGCGAACTCCGTGACTTCAAGACCGTGTCGTGAACGTGGTGTTTGGAATTAATGTTCAAACATCCTTATGTTGAGTTGAGATCATTCGCAACCTTATTTTGTTCATTGCGCATAATCACAGCTATATTTGCCTATAAGGATCCGGATAAGACTTTTTATATGACTTTGTGCTCTCGCAAATTATTACTTACTCTTTGCGACGTCTGGAAATGATAGTGCAAAGTACAGTTCAGGCTAAACAAATCACTCCATGGTTCATTCGGTGACTGTATATGCTCGGTGTTGAGAACAATTGTAACAAAAGGGAAAGAGTCCGGTATGACATAGAACGCGCACAGAATAACAGATTATTTGCATGCATCATGGAAGGTCTGCATTCAAAAAACACGGTGCATTGCCTAAGTTCTTGCCTTGCAGGTTCAGGACGCTAGAGGCTTCTGTTCAGCGTTCCCTTATTTACAGCGGTAATCTTTGTTTAGTGGCCTTATCATTCAGACATACGTTTGGCGAACCATGGCCGACAGGTATTTTCTAATGCAACAAACACTAAATGTCCGTGAAGCAACATGAAACACTTTGTTATCGTTTATATATGCGTAATTTATAACTTGATTCCTACGACCCTGACGTTTTAAGGACATTAATATTGTGTGCGAGAGAAGAAAATGCACCTTCGGGTAACCTTGTCATATGACTGCTAAGAATTGCGATAGAGGTCTCAAGCCTACAGTGAGAAAACGCTTATTGACAAAAGTAAATTGATTCTTTAGGAGCTGCTCAAGTGAATTGTATTTTTAGTATGCTCCACAACAGTACTCAGTCTGTCTAGTGACGAATACATAAAACATGAATGTTATATTTATTTTGACGCGTTTGAATACTAACGCTAGGTTCTTTTTTTATAATACAACAAACATAACTCATCTGTACAAAACAAACTGAAATGAATATGTACAACTACGTAATATGTCATCGAGTTACGGCCAAAGGCCGTTCCATAATGAATTAATACTTTGAATGAATTCTTTACTTCAGACGGAAGAAGTCTAGGAGCCAGGGAAAAATAAGACCACATTGTGTTCTGCTTGAGGCTTAGCACATAGTGTCAACACTTAACAAAAAAGAAAAAAAAAAACGAGAAGAAAAATATATGACGCATGATCATCAGAAGGGCAATAAAACCTTGAACAAATTTCACTTTCAGAAAACTTATAAGTATTTTACATGTACCAATATTTTATTCAGTCTTCACTTTGACAACTGCCGTCGGAGATATTATATTTGTTGGTTCCACACAGAAGGTCGTAAGCGAAATCGCAGTATGTTCTTTCTCCAAGTTGGCTCTTCGCAACGACGACGCAGCAGGCATCTTCTGCATTGTTTTAAGATCTGTGTTAGACAATGTCTGTGAATGTGATTGTGAGCTGTGCGTTATGAGCTTGAATTTTGTTCTCTTATATACCGTATCTTGCCCTACCCTCATCTTACCTTTATAGTACCGTTCAATTCCTAAGAAGCTCAAGTTTGAGCAAACAATTACTATATATACACTGTTAATAAGGAGCTTTTAGACGACTGTCTCTTCCTGGTTTACGTTTCTAGACAAACAAGCGCCTGTCCATGTAGCACAGAGTTCTCAGCCAAAATTTGGCTTTTGTCTGAGAGTTCAGGCCTTGAGAAGCTATAAAAAGCGAAACGACGTACAGCCAAATCGGGCATGCTTTGTTAAGTCTGCATATATTGGCTGTAATTCGCCGAAAAAGTGACAGAGTTTGGATTTACTGATTGGTGATTTTGCAGTCATCTAGCATCTTTGGGTGAAAATCGAGAAACAAACGCAAGAGTTAGGCTGACTGCCTAACGGCAAATCGCCAAAAAATGACATACTTAAGGTGCACTTCCTGATAGTTTGCCAGTAGTCATGCAGCTCCGGGCCAGTCCACAAACAAAAGCCAGAGGTAGGTTTACCTGGTTGGTAGTTAGACTGCCATTTGGCATTTTTGGGCCTAGATCGCCAAACAAGTGCCTAAGTTAGGTTTTTGTGAGCAGTTAGGCTACGTGTCTTGAGTTCGGAGGATGTCTGGCGTCTTTGGTCCCAAATCGCCAAAGCAAGTATAGGAGTTAGGTTTCACTTTCTGGTAGTCCGGTTAGCATCTGCCATCTACCCACTTATTGCGAAATATGTGCTGCCACTCAGATACGCGACTGGTCTGAAACAAAGGGCTGAGAAAATAACGCGTGCCCTAATCGCCTCCATTCCGTTTGACACCCAAGATCTTAGCCACATCATGTTGGCCCATTGAGCCGTTGTGACCTAGATGCCGGAGAGCGCCTCTAGAGCGCGCGAGACTAGAGCGCCGACGTTAGAGAGCGGGACACGAGGGCGCTGCGATAGTAGCGCGCTTGCCATTAGAGCGCCTGTCACGAGAGCGCATGACCAGTTGAGCGCGCGACACGAGAAGAGTGCTCGACCAGTTGAGCGAACACCACAAAAGGTGTGATGTACCCGCGGCTCCACAGAGAGAACAAAATTCTGGGAATCGTCGGATCAGAGTAGTGGTGATTTCCGATTTATCAAATATGCCTTAAAAAAAAAAACACACAAAAAAACACGGGTACGACTTTTTTTATTTAATTATTTACTGACATCGGAGAGAAAAGGGCAGGAGAGTGGGGTGGGGCATATAGGTGCCGGGGATGTCTGCAGTTGGGGTGAGCAGCGGTGCGCGTCTGGGATATGCTATAAATATTTTTCTTTTTGCTACATTCGGGTCTATTTTTGACAGGCACTTGAGCTCCAATCAATTTGGTGGCTATTTAGACGTCCCTCACATAACTTTAAATAGTATTGTGACGTCCGTGACCGTAATGAAGAAAGCTCACCGCTAAAAACGTATCAGTAAAAAAACTAACTGAAGGAAAGATCAGCGCAATTTTATCGGACGCAGAGCTTTCCAGCTTTTTGATGGATACAGGAAAACATGCCCGGCAAATCTGTGAAATATAATATCAAAGAACTAATGAAGCTATATAGATCAGCTGCCATTTTTCTTCGGAAATAAACGCAACAGATATTGCTTTCTGCTGTCAGCGTTTTATAAAATTTGTTGGTTTGTCACACGAAGAAATTTCGTCAACGCAATTCGCAATGTCCTTGGTGAATGCCGCGGCCTAATCCCGACCAATTTCACATAAAACACGCGATGCCCGAGCAAGTGGTCGGTCCGGCCCGGCCACTTGGGCTGGACTGGTTGTGTGTTGCCGCTGCACTCTCGAGTCGGGCGCGCCAACGTCGCAGCGCTCTCGAGTCGCGCGCTCTAACGTCGTGGCGCTGTACTGTCGGCGCTCTAATGGTGGCGCTCTTGTGTCGTGCGCTCCACTGTTGTACAGCCCCTAGATGTGGGTACCACAAAACATCGGTTTTGTCTAGATTGAAGGTTTCTTTGGCCCCGAAGTTGAAAAAAAGAACATCGTTCTTTCTTGCTTGGCCAGAACAAAGAGAGAGGGGCTATCAAATTAAGTTACTCTTTAACCGATATCTCTGCAATACCAGAGTAAGGCAATCAGGGCGGGTCCCGTTGGTACTGGTTTATTTGTGTTTTGGTATAAAGGAACGAAGGACCGATGAGTTATTGGCAGGGCGCCGGTTGTTGCGACTTGGTTAAATACAAATTGAGTTAAATTAATCCCGACATTTTTTTTTAATTTTATTTGGGGGTCTTTGATTTCTCTAGCCCAAAGAATGACAAAGGTTTTCCGGCTTCTGGACAAGTGAATTCCAATTTGGCAAATGCAAAATGCGCCGGATTTTTTAGCTCGCGCGTAGGTACATATGCCAATGTCCAGCCGGAGAGTTACTCATTCCGTAACTAACTGGCCACGAGATTGGTTCTACAAAACAGCAATTGCTGCGATCGAGCGATCGTTGCGCGAGCCCGACGTGTAACAGAAGCAGGCGTAGCTCTGTGTGCGCTTTGCATTGTGATAAATGACTGCAAAAGCCTGGCAAAAAAAAATAGAAATACAGCAACAAGAGGTTGTGGCTCAGTGGTGCTGCGCTCACTTCATACTCCGCGGACCCTATATTAAATACTGGCGGTGGAGGCTTTTTTTAATTTTTTTACTTTGTTTATGTTCTCTTTTTTTATACTTTTTCTGAAAAAAGGGCGGGGGCATTTAGCGATATCAGCAAGGCTAACATCTTAAAAATGCGCTTCGACTGCCTTTCTTGTGATGAAGTGCACGGAATACCTCTCTTGTGGGAAACCAGACAAAAGCCTAACTTTGGCACGCTTTTGGTTTTACTTTGTCATTTTGGCAAATATTCGGCACTCCAGTCACTAACGAGCGAAAAGTTAAACTCTGGCATGTTGCGGAATCCTTACTGAGTTAGGATTCACTTCAGCAATTATGGCTCAAGTATGGCTCTTACTTTAGCATTTCTGTGGCACACCATAGAAACCCAAACTTTGGCATGCCCAAGATTGCCCAACTTGGGCTACAGTTAGGCAAAGAACTTTGGCTCTGACAAGCGCCATGTTGCAAGACCTAAGTTGTCTTAGGTAAAGCCCTTGCATTTCTCACAATTTTGCCAGGTTTGCTTTTCCTCCGACGTGCTATGAGGTTGACTATAATACCTTCACAGAAAACAATCTAAAACACAAATGAAGACTAAAATCAAAACTGCATTGGTTAAAAATAAAATCTTTCTTTACGAATGTTGTAAAGAAAATGTGTTGTTATAAATTTTATGGAAGCCTTGAATAGACGCGCAATAATAAAAATGAAACAATGATGTGGCATATTCTTAAGAAATTAATACCTGATTTAAAATGGTGACGTACATTTCTCACACAAAGAGAAATTAATAATATCGTTCTTGTGGGCCTCTGAATGGTGGAAATATAAATATAAATATATTTGATGTCATTCGTGATATTGACCTATCTAACATATTCTACCCTTCCAACTGGTCTCCCCGCTTGCTAATATTAGTCATGGAACTCGTGATATACAACTAGAACACTATTTCCGAAAATCCCAGTCCAAATTTATATGTTAGAAAGATAGTCATACCCTTGACGTAAATGTTCCTGTAGAGGGAGCACTTTCCAACATCCATAAAAGACAAGTATAGGGTCAGTGAGTCTTCTTCTGAAATGTAGTAAGTGCAAATAACACTGTGTACTCTATTATATTCAGAAAAATAGTAATACTCATGACGTGTGGCGTTCGAGTCTGTTCTTCGGGCAATTGTATGTACTCTTAAGGATTAATAAATACACTCCATATTCAACGCTATCCTTACCTTTTTTTCTAGTTCTTTGCTTTTATGAATACTTTCGCAGGCTAGGACAAGTCTAAAACACTATTTTACAATGTTTCCATAGGTAATTATGACGTAATAATATAAAGCGAAACACGGTCGAACTCCACTTTTGCACTATCTGACTGCTTTCGCAGCGAAGAAACTGTTCTGTAGGGACAGATATGATGAAATTATGTCCATAACTTTGAAGGAAGAGCACTTATTGCTCTGAAGAAAAACATATTTGTTGTCCACTGATTTTAAATTGAGAATTGATTTTGTCTGGGTAGGCATACCTTGTTATAACATAAGCTTGCTCATTGGCAGGCTTAGTTTTCCATCAAACAGTTGTTTCATAATATTTTTGAACAAATAAACATGTGTTGCGTTAAATTTCATCTTGATAATACCACACTATTGGTCTTGGAGATTTTAATGTACCCGATGTAAAACGAGACTTACAATACTTTTTATTATGTTCTGGTTGAATCTCATGTAAGACGAATGATTTATTGAATGCTGTAAACCTCTTTGAATTGAAGCAATAAATCATTTTGAAAATCCAGCGTGATGTTTGCTTGACCGCGCGTTAGTAATATTTAACGTTCACAGCCTCATTGAGATCTCCAACACAGTTGTTCTACCTGACGTTTGGCACATTCCTTTTTTAAGTTCCTTGTATTTCTTGTAATAATATAAATGTTACAAGCTACGACTCATTTGCCTTGAACAAAGGGTGACTGTTAGCCTTTTCAAAGTTTTAGACATTGAATGGTGCACGAATACGTGAAACAATAAATGTAAATTTGAACTCCTGTCTAAATTTAGTTTATTAAAATATACTCCTTGTATATTTTAATATGTATACATGTGTATACATCAATTTAGCTTCCCCGTTAAACTGGCGAGGTATTTATTGTCACATGCCCTATATTTCAATTAAGTTTTCCCTCTAAACATTAGCGAGAAAATTGATGCCAAGACATGTGCAACTTTTTTTTGGAGTACTAGCGGTGTTTATATGTGTATCCTTGGACTTGTTCAAGAAAGTCGCAGTGTTTAGCCAATTGTGGTTCGTTGCAGGAGGGCAATGTCGTTCTCAGCTTTGGAGATGGCCCCAGTTCCGGCTGTTAGCAGTGTCCAGTAGTGTTTCTTTGGACTAAGTGAGTTGTTAGAGGAAACGCAACATTGAAGGTCAAACCCTTTCTTTGTGTTCAGTAGTAATTCACCTAGGTTAGCCGGGTGGCGGTGGTTATGCTAGATTGTGACCCTTTGTGTGAGTGTTTCATAGCCGAGGTCAAGGGGGATAAGAGAAGGTTTACCCAAACTTCATTGTCCTCTTGTCATAATCTTTTTCTTTGCAGAGACGGCGTTGGAGTTGTGGTATATAAGGCGTGTACGAAATAAACTTTGCAGCTGAGTTTGAGACGTTGCCTCCTCTTTTCTACCTTCTGTTTTGTTCTTTTTTCTGCCCCAGTCTCAGGTTTACGATCATGTACACCAGCTCGCCTGCACTCTGACTATTTTTTACGTGATACCACTTGCACTTCTCTTCTCCCGTCTCTCCATCTTCCCCTTCACTTTTCGTTTACCCATCCTTCTTTCCTTCCTGCTTCCCAACCTCCCGTCCTCTTTCGTTTTTCCTTCCTCTCCACCAACTGTCTTTTCCTCTATTTTTCCATCCCTCTCCCTCCCTCCCCACCTGCCTTCCTCCTCTCCCTCCTGCTTCAGTGCCCTGTTACTGTTGCGACCAACACAAGCAAGCTTTATTCTATCATTGCCATCAAGCCCTATTTGCACGTTCATTGGATTTGGCGGAATGCCTAATCCATCCGATGAAAACACTTGGTCATGCAGTCTCAGAAACTACTGTTTTATTGTCTTATGATATAATGGTTACGATCCGAATTTCAGTACTGCACGTCATGCATTATAGTACTTTGGAGCTTGACCATAAATTGTTTCAGCTTAGTTCTCCATAACTCTAGAAATAGAGGTCTACAGAAAATTCAATTTCTACTGATGTGGGCTGGAGCTTTTTTTAAAGATTTTATGAGTTGAGTTAGTATGACGCTTTTGAAGAAAATAATTATAAGAGGCAAAATCAATTGAACAGCTTTGACAAAAGTGGGCGACCTTTGCAATGTTTATCCTTTAGTTTCTGCGCCTTCGTTGCCCTAATCTGAAGCTAAAGGCAGAAAGAGCGCCCGCAGTGTTTCCCACAAGGGTAAGTGGTTAAGATGTCTTGGGTAGCTTAACGTTTACATTTTCTTGTATTCAAGCTGCAGCTAAGTTGGAATGCGCTACACTGCGTTTTAGAATAGCTAGCGAGTTTTCAAATAACGTACGGAAAGTATCTGCGTACACACAGAAAAGCGTCGTCATTATGCGCCAATGTGAAGCGATGTTTGGACTCTAAGCATGACTAGTGGAGGCGATGTTATCTTTAATAAGTACTCAAAGGCTTTGCGGACGATATTCTAAAGTTCGCTATTAAGTCCGACTGCAGCCAACGCCCCAATCCGTTAGAGCCGCTCAAGCTGCTCCAAAAGATGTATCGTAATGGCGCTGAGCCAAACCCCGCACTGGGAATGCGCGGCGACACGCTGCGCTGTTTTCTGAGCGTGATCGGTTTAGCCGGTTGGAGCAAACGCACAAAACGACGAACGCCGTTAGGACACGCACAAAACGACGAGCGCCGTTAGGACACACTTTTGGAGCTGTTTGACTTTTTTTTATCGGAGAGCGTACTGTAATGCTGACGAGGTTCCTCAACCCACTGCATCACTCTCCCGCGCACTACGGTGCGCATACCTTCCGGCCATTTTCTGCGCCCAGGGCCAGATTCGGGTAACCGGGGTGAAATGGTGGTCAGTGAACGTATTCAAAGTCATATTTGGCAGGGGGGGGGGGGGGGGTTACGCGCCAACCCAACGGCGGGCATCTTGTACGCCGCGGCGAGGCGTAAGGATTAAGTCCGACCACCCGGGGATCTTTTGAAGTGCCACCGAAAGTTCGGTTACACGCCACCTTCTCTGCAAAAAGCCTCGTTCCAATTGCGGGCTCCTCGGCAGGGATTCGGATCCCCCACCCGGGGATCCGTAGGCCGGCGCTTTGGCTCGGAGCCACCATGGCTGCTAATGATCATATCAAGACGCGCTGTAGTTTCGCAAATTGGTTAAATTACTTGAACTTCGAGTGACAACTGGCTTTAAAGTTTTGAATGACGATTTGTAACCACCACTGCTCTAGCTTTTTGATATGAGCCACCATGTCCTTTAAACAAAAAAATTCTTCATTTTCTGCGTGATACGCAGCTTTTAACAAAAAGTTAATTGTTTTGGCTATTTCGTTTGTCTACCACCACGTTATCATTCACTAAAACCTGCTGTTATTTATAAACGTATACTTGAATCGCCATTCCTGTGAGTCTCGCGTGCTTTCTTTAAAGGCCTTTGTGATTTCAAACTTCAAAGCAATTACGCCCTGTGTACATTATTTATTATGTGGGCTGGAGGAAAAATATACCAACTAAACCACAATATGATGAGTTTTTTTGGGAGAATGCGAACTGTATCATATTTTTGTTTTAATAAAGGACATTGTATACCTCCACTGTTATTAAAATTATACTTACGGCCCTCAGGGAAATAGTTCAACTGATTCTTGGAAGTATATCCTTCAGCTGACTCTAGCCTGATAAGCGCATTCCTGTGGACCAAGGCAGATACATGAGAGCATTATACTAAGGCAAAAGTTTTATATGTCTCATCGTTCAGTCGACCTTCAAATTTCTTGAGCGAAAACACGTAGGCGACACGAATGGTACGAAAACCGGAGTCACGAAAAGCGCCGAAACGTTTAAACGACATCTGCGAATTTTAATATTCCTCAGTAAAAATTTTTCGCCCTTGTTCCTCGGCTGTCGTTGAACCAGCGACCTTTCGTCCACTAGTGCGATGCGTGCCCCTCCGCCACCACATCTGTATGTTATGTGTCTATCTTTAATGCATCGCCGCTTGGGCTTTCGCCTCCAAGTCGTCTCAGGGATGACATAAGCGACCCTGTGCATTTATTAAACAAAAGAAGTTTGAAGCAACACCAAAACATTTTAGTAAGAACCAAATAGCTACACCAGAAATATATAGATATATGAGTGATAAATTTTCAATCTGTAAATAAAATATTAGAGTACCTCGAAAATGAAAGACCACCTCGAATTTAAGGTTTATAACTTGAACAAAATTATTTAGCACAAAACCATAACGATATGTATTGCAATTAGACAACTAGAGGTAAGCGTAGGTAAACTCTTTTTTTTTTTTAAAGTATGCTCTACGATAACTAAATCTTCTATCTAGTGAGAGTTGGATATCTTCCATTCTTACCGTCCAGTTTTTCTTCCTTCGACGAGCGAATGAGACATGGTTATCCCACTGCATTACCCACTACTGGATGTAGTTTACCATAATGTACTGCCAAAACGTTGCGGATGTAATGCAAAACTACAAGATAAAAATGAACTTTTTCGCTGAATAGAAAAGGTCTGAATTTAGGACTGTAGCTCTTTTTATTTGTGTTAAATTTCCTTGTGAACTAAAGAAAACATGAAACACTTTTACAATCCCCTGTAATGCCGAATTAGAGCGCGGCTCTTGAGGAGGAGGAGGGGAAGGTACGGAGAGGAAGATACACCTTTCCGCCTCTCCTGCTCGCCTCCCATTTAAGAGAAAATCTTCCGCTAAATTTAGCGGGGAAATTTTTTCCGCTACATTTAGCGGGGAATTGCGTCAAATTTGGCGGGGATTTTTTTTTTTTTCGCTAAATTTGGCGAGGGAAATGTTCCGCTAAACTTGGCGGAGAACTTTTTCCGCTAAATTTAGTGGGGAAATTTAGCCGTAGTGCACCGCGCGGTGACGCGGACGCGGACGGCGACGGGGACGTGGACGCCGATGGCGACGGGGACGTGGACGCCGCTCAAGCCGGAAACGGGCGCCTAAGAGCTGTGCTCTAAAAACATCCTTTCGAAAAAAGAAGCATACAGTCATCTATTGAAAAGAAATCTGTGCGTTATTTAGTTAGCTAAATCTGAAGTTACATCTAAATATACATTATGTGAGTTACGTCATAAACTTTTTATTCGGCATTAAAAATCTTGTAAACAATAGGTTAAAGTTGATGAAATCATATATAGTTTCAAACAGGTTGCAGCGATCAAAGCGCGTCTGAAGTTTCACTTACGCCGACTGCATCCCATCTCCATACTCAACCATGACCGGATATCCACCCTCCTCTTCAGGTTTCACCTGAGAGAATCTTACGCATTTAGAAGTTCCGAATGCTGGGTCTTCTTCGTAGTTCCTGTACAGCATGTACCAGGCCTCGGTCAGTGGCAACTGCTGCATGTATTTATTACGCACAAATTAAATTCATACGTGGAAAACTATTGGACATAATTTTGATAAGGCATGTTAGAATTTCCTTTTTATTTTATTTCAGATAAAACACGTTGACAATGTTACTTCTAACGCAATGCTCACTACGTTTCTCTATTTTTTTCATCTTGAATTTTAAGAATACTTCAGGGTAACAACGTTTCAGCATTCAAAGACGCGTCTCTCTGAAAAAGATGACTGCGGAGTGAAATGACATGAAAGTAATACGCTTGAAGTTCCTAATAAATGATAAATAATCCAGTGCACGAAATAAATATTATACAAAGTATATAATAAATAAATTACAAAAAGCAATAATTTTATAACGAAAATTTTCCAAGATTAACCACCACATACCCGAGTTATGTCCTGGTAGATTTCAAGCTCTGGATTGAGCTCGGGGTAATTGGGATTTGCTGTACCTCCATGGAGGATCATGAGAGTGGCAAAAGTAAAGACCGCCTTCGACATAGCTAGTATGATAAGTAGTCAACGTGTTACAACGCCGTTACCTGCATAACCTAAATGTAATATCGCTTGAGCGAGGTTTTATAACTGTTCTCGACAGAGACCATGTACTCTCATTTGTGCTTTGCTTTGCACTTGAAATATTTTTTTAAAGTTATGGTGTATGCATCATCATACTGAAAGCAGCCCCTAGACAAACAGCAGAAACCATGAAAATGACATATGTTCGCTTTTAGCGTTCATCTAAAAAAATTGCGACATTCGCACCTGAGTCACCAGGAAAACACGTAAACAATTCACATTATTAACACTCAAGTTGCACTCACTGGAAATGTTTATAACAATAAACAGTGCAAAGGATATGCCACCTTTGTACATTGTGACGCTAATGATTACATAAGAGCATGTAATAAATGTTTTTTAGGGGCGGATAGATATTATAAACGCACGTGGTCTATCATGCCTTTTAACCCTTTAATGCTGTTTCATTTCATTTATTTTCACGTTAATGGCTCTTTAGGGCTATACTTAAGGGGGGCTAAATACATGTTATTGAAATTAAGACAAACAAAAAGAAAAAAATACACAGGCTAATTATTACGTAGACGTCAAGCTCATTAATCTTACATAATAAAAAAAAAACACCGATCCCAAAAACAAATTCGTAAGCTTGATTGAAATATTTCTGGGCCTACGATGGTGACGATGGATGACGGTAGGCTGTTCCAGTCTTAGAGGGCTTGAGGAAGGAAAGACTGACTGAATGCGTTTGTCGAACCGAAAATACGTTCGATTGTGCAGGAGTTAAGGCGAGAAGATGTTCTGTCAAGAGGTAATAACAAAGAGCTTTTGAGGTCGGAGCAACGATATTAGACTCTATGAAGAAGAAAGAGGCGAGAGAGTTTTCTGTGGAGCTGCAAAGAAAACTGGGTTAATTGACTTTTTAAGGCGGATACACTGACAAAAAAATCATAGGTGGACAAGGTAAAACGCCCGGCTCGGTTTTGTACTGCCTCCAGGTGGTTGATGAGGTAGGCCTGGTGGTGACTCCAGGTGGAACCTGCATATTGTAATTTTGGTCTGATGAACGTGTCGTACGCCATTTTGCGGACTAGTGGAGGAGCACCGTGCAGGTTACGTCGAGTGAAACCTAGAGTTCTCGATGAGTCGGCATGTAGGGCTTGAGTTCCATGAGAGGTCTGATGTTAGTCTTTCATCAACAGTTTCGATTAGGTCAGAGTCGAAGAAAACCTGATGATATAGGTCGGATTTCTGACTGCTGAAGCGAATTAATTCAAATTTAGATTTGTTCAGTGACATAAACGAGGTGTTGCACCATTGTATATTTTTTAGGAGGTCATCTTTTAGCTGGTTCTGATTATTCTGACATGTTCTTTGTTATGGACGTCGCCGTTCTCTGCTAAGAGGCGTATTTTAGAGGAAATGGTGAAAAGAAGTCATTAATAAATATAAAAAAGAAACAAAAAACAGGGGCCCGGGTACGGACAATTGCGGAACACCATTGGAGACATTTGTTAAGATGCACACGTCATTATTGATGACCGTGAACTGTACGCGGGAGAAAAGAAAGGCCTGTATCTATGCAAACACAAAATTAACAAGGTGAAGAGAGAACAACTTGAAAAAAGAGGCGTTGATGGGGGACACGGTGGAAACCTTCGGAGAATTCATGAACGACCGCCTCGATCTTAGCATCACACTCGAGGTTAGTGCGTAGCTCATGGATACCCTATTGGAAAAACGTACAAGAAACAAACCTGCTGCTTGTACAGTCCTGGTATGACACCACCATAATTTATTGTTATTATACATGCAGCTAGTTTGGTTTTGCGTTCTCCATAACTGGAGATACCGGCACCGCTATGGCTCCGGGTCTGTCTATACTGGCAGCCGGTTTGCTCGCCGATATGACTCGGTATGGCTGGTATAATTTTGCGTCCGATGACGTAGGCGACCGCCATCTTTCCAACGAAACGCCTATACCACAAGACCACCGGTATAACTAAACCATACATGCAGAAAGACGACCGCCATCTTCCAACAAAAACGTCCATCGTTTACCACCGGTATCGTTACATACATCATACATGTCGAAAAATAACACAAGCCGCGTTTACATGAATGCGACTTAGTCGCATTGAATCCAGTTGCCGCATTCAATATGCGGTCATGTAAACGGCATAATGCGCAAAGCGCATCGCATTAAAGTCGCTAGACAGAGGTGGATCGAGATGGCGAGTGCGCATTCATTCAGCCCATGTAAACGAAGATCGCATCGCATTTTGGAACGGGGTGGATTATCGGAAGGCGCTCGCTGCGGGAGCGAGTGAACAGCTGAGAACATGGTGGCGGCCAACCTCGTCGGCGGCGCGGAGAGCGGTCCCGCAATTTTTTTCCCGAGAACAAACGCAAGCTTTTATTGCGATCATAAGTAAGCGGAATTTAGCGGAGCTGCTCGGTGAGGGCGGCCCCGTCCAAACCTTTGCGAAGTACGACTTGCGCGTCCGAAGGGGTCACAAAGGCTTCGGTGCAAGCACGCATGACACCGAGAGCTCCGATCACTGTAGAGCACTGCATGGTTGCGCAGAACGAGCAGCTCCTACCTCGCTGCCGTTCCTGGCTGCGCAAGAGCCTCTCGGACTCGGGGTCTGGTCGCGATCGGCGAGGTCTGGCGCGGCGAAACGTGGAGGCTTCCTCAAAGCGTGCACACACACGTCGCCTCTCGTTCAGAGTGGACCGGCGGCCCGGACTGGAGTCCTAAACGCCTTGGTTTTGATGCTTCTTCCGTCTCCCAACTTCTTCCACAGCACCGAAGACAGCGGGCGCGATCTTTACGTTCACTGAATGCGTCGAAAGGCCTCCACGTGCGATGCACCGGAAAACGTGGTGCGGATGGTGCCGGAACGGAACTGACGGAACTGCATAACTTCGAGCTTTGAGTCAACGTGCACGGCAACAAACCGATCGTGACACTAAGCCGCGGATACCGCATCGCCAGTCGACAGGGGCAAATGGCCCGTTGCTCGTATCGTGGGCCGTGACTCGTACTCGGCCAACTCGGCGTCTTTTCGTGGCCCCTCGCGTCGTCGCAACCAGCCGCAAACATACCAGCCCGCGACCGTGGCCGATGTCGGAGAAAAGCGAAACCGAAACGTACAGCTTCCGCCCAGTGGCTTCCACTACCGCGCCTTTTCTAACTTCCCGGCCAGTCCCGGTTTACACGCTTCCGGTCGTCGTGGAGATGGCGACGCAGCCAGACGTAGCGGTTTTGGCGCTGGCTCCTTCTGCGTTTTACGGGACAGATGTTTTACGGTCCGTTTCTACTGCGTCTCTGGCTCTCAACTCGACGACTCCTCTCATGGTTCAACCAGGCGTGGTCAGCCGGGGTCAGCACAGCGCGGCCGGCTCAACTCGTCCGATCGCTGGACCGCAGGCGACTTCCGATTTCGGCCGTTAGGCCTAGGATCCGAAGGACTCTGTTTCCGTGAAGCGGTAAGCGAATCTCGTCCCGTTTTCGTTCTACTTTTAAATTACGTTAGGTGCGCTACAGTGTAAGCATGCGTGCCAAGTGTTCGTGACAATTTTGAACTAGAATAATTGTGCTTCATTGCGGTTTGTCATTTACGAAAAAGTAAATCGAGCAATGAACGAGGAGCCATGCTTGAAAACGATGTATGTACGATGTTAACTTCTACCTGGGCGGCTTAAAAAAAAGTCAAGACTGGTTACGGTTGGATGCGAGGCTGGTCCCAATGCAATGGTAACCACTTAGAGCACCTTTCTGAACAGCATGTAAGCAATATAGCGATCAACGAGACGAGCGACGACGAGAAGCTACGAGTGCCGGCGCCGAGCGACGAAGATTTCTCACTCGCTGCTTTCGCCGCTCGGTTCCTGGGCTTCTAGAAAACGTCGCTCATCACCTTGATCGCTCGCACCAATCGCTTTCATAATGTGTGTCTCGTCGCGCAGCTGACTACCGTGTTTATTCAAATATATGTCGACCTTTTTTTCTCTTTTATTTATTTATTTTTTTTTTTTCGGAAATCGTGACTAAAGAATTTTGACCTACATTCGCGACCAAATTTTGCGACCGTACCGGAGGCATGAAGCTATCGAGTCACCGAGCCGGCGTTGCCGTAGAGCTGCGCCGCTTCTTGTTTCCAAAAGCTTTTGTTAAACAACCGAAAACAACAGCGGTGGCCGATGCCGCTATCGCGCGCACCTCTTGGGGCATTGGATTTCGCCATCGCACCTCTAGCGTTCCCCTTGCTGGGCAATGGGGAAGGAGAGGAACGCGATGCGCCATGCACTTTGTCCTCCATCCTCGCAAACGCGCACAAAAAAAAGAAAAAAAAAAAGATGTTACTTTTGTTAGTTGCTTGAGGCGGCTCGGCTCGCGTGTTGCTCATGGCGACACGGCGGCTTTGTTTGCGTCTTTGTAGTTTGTCTTTCGTCGCTTCGCACCTTCTTTCGTTTCTTGTCGTCATTTTACAACGGTGTCAGTGAAGTATTGTGGCGGATTTGCGAGGATGTCTACCAAGCTGTGAAGTGATGTAAATAAAGTTTTCTTTCTTTTGCCCAAAATTTCCCGTTCTTAAAAATAAAAAAAAGTCAACCTATATTTGAATTTTTTTTTTTTTTTTTTTTTTATTTTTGGTGGGTCCGACAAATAGAGTTCGACCTATTTTCGAGTAAATACGGTAACTTTAATTTTTATTTTGGGTTACGTCGGACGTAACTCGAATGCTTGACAGTTACGTTGGGCGTAACTTTAATTTTTATTTCGGGTTCCGTCGGACGTAACGTTAGACACTGCGTTACACTTAAGAAAAATAGGGGCTGATGGTTTATCATATAAACCAACCATTTGTGTTTAAATAAAGCGAGTCACTGGCCTAAAAAAAATACTGCTGTCCTATAGGAATGTAGCGCTTCAGATAAATTTGTTAATTTTTGCTTTTAGTCTCTGCCCCACCAGA